GGACAACTAGTGTATGATTCCATTTATATGGAATATCTAGAATAGAGGACTCCATCCACAGAAAATAGAATGGAGGCTGCCAGGGGCTGGGATGGAGGCAGGAATAGGGGAGTTGTTGTTTAATGGGCACAGAGTTTCTGTTTGGGGTGATGCAAATGTTTTGGAAATAGATCACGGTGGTGGTTGTACGATATTGTGAATGTCATGAATGATGCTGAGTTGTACACGTAAAGATGGCTAAAGTGACAAATTTTATGTTATATATATTTTACCACACTTTAAAAAATTAATAATGTACCCAAATTCCTTGAATTGTACCCTTTAAATGAATGAATTGTATGGTACATCAATTATATCTCAGTAAATCTGCTTTAAAAAAAATCCCAAAAGCAGAAGCCTTGGCTGAGATCAAAGCCTTCCTGGGGCTGAAATCCTAGCCTGACCAGGCCCTTGGGGATCCACCACCCCAATACCTCTCTGACCTCCTCCCCCGACTCCTCACTCATTCCTCGACCCCCTTGGGCCACTTGGATGTTCTTCCTGTGTACCAAGGACAGCTCCACTCAGGGCCTTTGCATGTGCTGTTCCCTCTGCCTGGCGCCTCCCCAGGCATATGTGTGGCCCACCATGAGTGCAGTGGCTTTGCTGAGTTCTCTGTGAGTCCTTCTGGAAAATTATTGAACTTGAGGTTGGTCTTGAGCCCCTCTGATCTTGAATTTATTCTTGCAAAAGTTTGGCAGCAACTTCTGTGGCCTGTGTAGGTATTTGTGTAATGCAGTGCCTGCTCCCTTCTGCCTGCTTTTTGGGGTTCACTAATGGTTCCAGTTCTCCACCAAACATAGCTATTTAAACTCCTGCTCTATCTCATGGGGTTCTTGGAGCTCCTCTGGGAAGCTGGCTTGAGAGTTGAGGACACATCTTGATGCGTCAAAGTGCTTGGCTGGCCAGGTCACTCTTTAAAGTTGCGGAAGACTAAAAACAGGCCACACGTCCAAAAGGAAGAGAATGGCAAAATAAATCATGGTACATCCACCAGATGGATTGTTATGCAGCTCTTAAAAATAACAACCACGAGGACTGCAGCAATATATAAAAAATGTCCACAGCACTTAAAGTAAGACAAGCAGAACCCAGCACTGCATCTGTGCTGAGTAGAACTATGTAAAAATGCACCTGCAGGTGAACAGTGGACAGGAGGTAGAAAAGTGCAGAGTTGGTGTGGGTGGTTTTTCTTTGTTTTGTCCTTTATCGTAGGTAGTGCAATTAATAGAGACTGAGGGGCGGGGGAATACAGAGCCCCACAAGGCGGGGAGCGTGCCTCGTGCCTCTGCGGGAAGGGTGGCGGGGGGCACCCTGGTTTCTGCAGCGCTGTGCGCACAGGGGCCTGGGCTCCTCCGAGGGGGTTATGCCGATGCGCGCACAGGTCCGCAGAGCCAGCGGCTGCCATCTGCACCTGCGTTTCCCCCAGCGTGAAACATGTCTTACCTAATTTCACGACAAGCGGTGTTTTTTCGTTGTTATTGGGTTTTGTTATGGTACAATATACCTAACATAAAATTTACCATTTAGCCATTTATTACAAGTACGGTTGAGTGGCATTAAGTACATTCGAATAGTCAACTAGACCATCGTCCATCCCCAGAACTTTTTCATTTTCCCCACATTGAACTCTGACCCCATTAAACACTAACTCCGTCTCTCCTCTCCCAGCCCCTGGCACCCACCGTTCTACTTTCTGTTTCTAAGAATTGGACTACTCTAGGGACCTCTTATAAGTGGAATCATACAATAGTTGCCCTGTTGTATCCATGGCAACCAGGGTCTTTGTGTGACTGGACCAGTCGTCAAGCCAGGCTCCCAGGCGCCACCTGGTGGCCTTTCTGGTGGCGCCCCTAGAGGAGCTGTCTAGAAGGCAGTTCTTTAAATATAAGGAATAGCATTGTCCTGTCGCCCCTGTCCCTGTAGCTGAGTCCGTTGCCCTTAGGGAAATGGCATTTCATTGCAGAAACTGCTTTCCTTAAGCCTGGGCTGCAGCCCTTGACCATCAAGGGTTTGCGGGGCGCCGTCTCCTGGTGCCCTGCTGCACTCTGGGCATTTATGGGCGTGTCTTCATGGGAACCCCCCCCCAGAGCACACGGTTACAAATTACTTGGAGACCCCAAGAGAGGAGAGAGCTTTATAACATGCCATTGTGGACTTCTGTATATCATATGCACTTTCTTTTATATATGTTTCATAAATTTGTTTTACTCTAAAAGTAACACATGTTTGTAGAAAGTGTGGAAAATCATCTCACAACCTACACATAACTAGAGCTAACATTTGGGTCTTTATCTTTCCAGTATTCCCCCGTTCCATTCATTTCGGAGGGGTTGGTTTCTTACAAAATTGGAAACACAGCCCCAGAGTCTCAGGACTCTGGAGACAGACCTGGATTACAAGCCCAGTTCCCCTGCTTAAGTGCCGTCTCAGGCGAACAAATGAATTTCTCTATACCTCAGTCTTCTAACCTGAAAATGGGAATATTAGCTGCACCTATCTCATAGGGTCAATGGGAAATTTTCAATGATCTAATGCATATGAAACACTTAACTGAATACATAATAAGCAACAGAACTTCAGCCATTGCTCAAATTACAGCCAAGTATAGCATGGTATAATTACAATATACTGCAGTCCACTTTTTTTCCACTTAATACAGCATAAGCACTTTGTCTGTGTAAAGGAGAAACCCGGCTCTTCCTTACCGTGTCTTTCACCTGTGAGCCTCCTTTCCTACTCACAAACTACTCCTGACAATTCTGGTCACCAAATGTGTGGAGGTTTTCCCCAATAACAAGCAATTCCCTGTGACACCAGCTGGGTGTCCTACATTTTAACTCAATTCTAACACTATCTACCTGGCAATAGTGTCATATCCTATAGGTTAAGGGCTCAGTTCCCTACCCCCACCACCACCACATACACACCTCAGATGTCAATCACAAACCCAGGTTATCTGTCACCTGTGCTTCTGACCAACTAGCTGGAGAGCAAAGGTTCCAACAACCCCCTCCATGAGTTCAATTAATTTGCTAGAGTGTCTCACAAAACTCAGGAGGACACTTACTTATGCTTACCGGTTTGTTATATGATAAAGGATGTGATAACAGACACAGATGAACAGTGAGGTGAAGAGTACATAGGGCCAGGTCTGGGAGGGTCCCAAATGCAGGATTGCATCCCTGTGAGTTGGGGTGTGTCGCTCTCCTGGTGTGGATGTATTCACCAACGTGGACGCTCTGAACTCCCTACTATTGGGATTCCATGGAGGCTTCATCACATAGGCATGA